ATTAAAAATCTTATCTGGTACAGTTCAAGGGTGTATTTATTTATTGAAACCTAAATTATAACGTACCTATACTCGTGATCTGAATAAGGGTTAGTTCACCATGTTTCCTGGCCATTAAACATATCCAGGTCACGCAGACGAACTCGCGAGTAAGAGCTAGTATAAAATAAAACAAAAAAATCTCCATAATAAGGCCAAAGTTATGAAATAAATTGTACATTTTTATAATTCTAAGAAATAACATTGTACACTATAGTATTATTATTGTGTTTGTTTATACCACTAAAGTCGCAAGCAAACATACGGCCCACCTGATGGTAAGCGGTTACTGTAGCCTATAAATGCCTGCCATACCATAGGCATTACGCGCGTGTTAGATATTTATTTTAAATTATATTAATTTTCTTAAACATCTTGTGTTAAAATGTGTACCTACATTTATCAATAAAAATCAGACTAACTACTTTAAATATAATAAAACGTTAAGATTGTAATTATACCAAATTTGGTAATAAATTATTCTTGTAATATATATAGAACACTAATTTATATTTTAATTAATTTTATAATTATTTATTGTCATGATACTTGAATAAAAAGTAATGAAATTGTAAGAACACGTGGTCTCGCTGACTTGTTCACTCGAATTCTACCCTGTAGATATAAAAGATTGTTATTTAGGTGGGGAGACACTTCTTGTCCAACCGTTGAACAGAGCAGAGCTGACGTATTAAAAGTGAACAAGTATAGTGAACCACGTGGTCATTATATAAAATATATCAATCCTAAAGAAGCTATATTTAAATAAGTGTCAATGGACTAACAGAAGTTGGGTATTTATGTTATATTATTTGTTATATATCAAATATAAAGTAAAATAAGTAAATATATGATTTAATAGAATGATATCTAGATTAAAGGAACTGTAAGAACTTGTGCTTTATATCTATTTATTACTAAGAGGCTTACAACCTTTATATTGCTAAAGAATATATTATATACATATATGTAAAGTTAGTATTACGTAGTATATATATATATTAAATATTATAAATAATAAATTGCCTTTCTGAAACGCGCGTTGACAACCCTAAAAAAAATCTTTACTTCCCTTTTGAAGAAGAACTGTTATTATATCAGCCGTTAATTGTCCACTGCTGGACATAGGCCTCCAGCATAAGTAGGGTTTTGTTCTAGAGGATACTTTTACATAAGAGGATAAGTAAGCAAATATTACGCTTTTTTATAGAGTAAATACTGGAAAAAACCGGTTCCACCGCTCCGTATCCGTAAGGCGCTGAAGCACAAAATCCTTGTACCTATTACTTTGATGTGTGGCCAGTGAGGTGGATGATTAAATTATAAATATCGATATGAGGATAATGTTGTATAATTTATGCGCTTTCATATTATCATATGCATGAAATATGTGTACAATATATACATACTTCGTTACGCATATTAATTATACTAGAGAGAGAGACTTTGTACAAAAGTCGTTTGCTTGGGTACCTCTGTCCTATTCGTGTTTCAACCGTAAAGCAGTTGTGTTTGCATGACTTTGTTTCGGTTAGGGTGGGATATGGCGTGAATTTACAGGGTACAGAGGAATAACACCTGAGTCCTCGCGAATGGCAACGTATGGGGGGTATCATGGGCGTAACATTATACTCTGTTATGTCCATGGTACTGTTCATGTCTATAGGCGACGGTTACTACTTTCTATCAGGTGCGCTGTCAGCTTGATTGCCATTCTAAGTTGTATAAAAAAATTACCTACTTGAATTTAGAAAGACAATTTAAAAGAACCGTGTCTCAAGTTGGGCCTTGGTGCGTCCATTAATGAATCACATACTAACGATTAGGGGTTCACGGGTACAGTCACGGAAAAATAGTTTCATTGTTATTCAAAGTGGGCGTATGTTTATAGGCAACCCAACATTGATGGCTGGGAGAAAGGGATTATTAGTAATGGGGTCAAATAGCCCCATTGTTAGCAATATACCCTGTCAGGTCGACCTCCACGTGGTTCCCCCTGGAAACCATCGTGGCTAATTCTAGTTGAATTCGTCAGGATGGGCTAACTGACCTGCTTTCATCCTCAATAGTAGTCTATCACTGGTGCCCCGCCATTGTATACCGATAGCGCAGACGAGGTTACCATGCCATTATCATCCATTAAAAAAAAACATTGATGAATTAATTGACATTTATATCTGTGAAGATTCTTCATCAGAACTATCAAATCTTAAAAATATGTCTCCCATTTCTGTTGATGTAAATTTTATTGGCTGTGTCAGATGCTTTGTATACCCTAAATACCAAATAATAGTTGTAATGTAAGCGCAATAGCCTACGGTACGAGCCCCATTTTTGCAGGTATCAGAACGCTTTAAATCACTAATTGTCCTTGCCGTGACGGCATAACATATTTCCAGAGACTTGGACGCTCAAAGTTTAAATTTTGACCGTTACCACCGTCACCGCGAGGAGCTGCTCTGGTCGCAAAAAGAATTACAGAGTCCTATAATATTTCACAGATAAATTATAGGCTATATTTTCACAAACGAAATGGGTTCCTGCCACCCAAATATAACGCGGTTAACTTTTTTGCTAACGAGGTGTCCCCACAAAATTCACTCATAAGAACGATATAGGTAATGCACTATCTAATGATATATAAGCTACTTCGTGAAGCGTGATGGCCCAGAACCCATACTATCCGGGTCTTCTTCGAATTCTTTGTCTTTTTATACTAGTTACTTTTATTGTACCGTACATGAATAGTTATTTGTGATAATTGTATTTATCAAATAACATGTAATCACAAATGAAACTGTAAGTAAATATTTAGGTCATAGAGACCTACCGATGATTCTTCAGATACATTGTAACTATGTTATATATAAGCTTATTATAACTATTTAATAAATAATATAATGAAATATCCAAGCGTGGAAGGCGGATTGGCAATCGCAGTTAGGCTTTTTTAATAGGTGACAATGAAATGGTAACCCCACCTGCGCTCTCGGTAAACACTGGCGGGGCACCAGTGAGAGATATATGAGAATGAAGCAGGTCAGTTAGCCCATCGTGACGATTTTAACAAGAATTATTCGCGATGGTTTCCAGGGGAAACCACGTGGAGGTCGACCTGATAGGGTATATTGCTAGCAATGGGCCTGTTAAACTCCATCGCTAACAATCTTTTAAGCAGTTAAGCTTTAGTGATGTTTCAAAAGGAAAACTGCTGTCTATTACTCAACTATTAAGTTCCCTTATTCGCCCATTACGACACCCAATAAGGAGAGTCCTATATTCAGCAGTGGATAGTTAACGATTGGTAACAATATTGGACGTTAGATTTTTAAACCAAATGGGTTGAATCGTATATATGCGGTGCACTGTTCTATTGTATGGAATTTACGTCTTCAGGCTCCCTGACTCGATAAACTGGGGGCCTACTAGAAATGAAATTCCGAAATTTCGGACTCAATTTCGTGTTTTCGTTTATACATAAATCGGCCCAGCAAATGGAGCTTAACATTTCGTTCGTCATAAATCCTACCATAAAAGTCAAAAGGAATAATATTTTAATATTTTTATTGTTTTTAAATGGTCAGTATTATGTAATTTTAACATCAAATTTGTGTTTCGTTCGGCTCCGAAATTTCGGAAAACATTTCGTGGTAGGCCCTCTGATTAGAGAACCGATTCCTCGATTAGGTTATCAATTCGTATCAGGATACGTAAAACTAAAGTGTGCTACCAGGCTACCAAAAAAATAAATAAACTCAACTGAATAAAATAAACACGTTCGATTGCATAATACATCTACTATTACAATAATTGGCTATTATTGTCATGCAATCGAAAATAACCAAAAAAAAAAAAGAAAGAATAGTTTACTGGACAAAACAGGAAACAAAATTAATATATTTTTGTCAACGTGGTCGCCACTCGTCAAGTAAATTGAACAATTTATTATTAATCGACGTCGATAAAAACTATAAACAATTCCTTATCGATAAAATTATATCGACTGCGTGCAACCCTATAGAGGCAAGGTGGAAAGCCCTTAGCCCAGTTGCGGTGCTGTAAGACCTCTCGTCAGGCTCTCCGCCCTGCCAATACTTTGCAGTGAGCCCTAAGGTTACCAGTAATTAAAGACTGCTGAACCATGCTAGAAATTGCGCAATGCAGTTAAAGGGCGATGAACTCGACGATTCACTATTTAAGTACGATCACCGTGGACGAAGTTTCAGTTGTAAAATATATTTATACTCTCAGTTGCTTTAACTTACTCGGTAATGTTTTAGACTTATAATCTCAACTGTCCACTTTATTTTGATGGCATTATGGTTTAAAAGCTAGATAGTTGATTTTATTTACATATTGTAAAAAAAAAAATACGAATGTTTAAAATTTATTTACAACGAGATGTTAAAACGTCGGCAATCAAAAAAATCAAATATATATATACTTATAATAAATCTGTAGAGAGGTCAATTCTGTACATGAAATATATTTCCAAAATAACTATCAGAGAGTGATTAGTGATCGATACCGATGCCAAAAACGCAATCAGTAAAATTTTTGTCTGTCTGTCTGTATGTTATAGAAACGAAAACTACTAGACGGATTTTAACGAAACTTGGTACAATTTTTCTTCATACTCCTGGGCAGGTTATAGTATACTTTTCATCACGCTACGATCAATAGGAGCAGAGCAGTGAAGGGAAATGTTGGGAAAACGGGAGAAGTTACTCCATTTTTAAGCTTCCGTCGCGTGTGCAGCCTTAATGGCTACTTTTTAAAATGTAAAAATGTCCACCCGTGCGACGCCGGGACGGGCCGCTAGTATAAAATAATTACCTGCAATATCAATATATTACGACACAGAAATAGATTGAAATATGAATTCCGGATCGTTTTAAGCATTACATAAGCATTTCAAATAACTTATAGCTATCAAAAATAAAAAAGAAAAATTAACTCACCCGCTTGTTGTCCCGAAACTTGAGCCATCCACTGATGACGCTGTTGTCCACGTCACAGCCTTCCTCCAACTCCTCACAATCACCCCTCCTCACTGGCAAGGGAGAGCCACCTGGGCTCACCACCTCACGCCTCCTCATAACAGGAGTACATTGCTGCGACAGCCTCCCTTCATTCACTATATCACTCCTACGCCCCAAAACAGGCGTCCCGTGAGCAGACACCCCACCCAGTAACCGTCTGCCCATGAAAGGGCTACCTTCCCACATCGCTTTCTTCGTAGGGCCTTTGCATTCAGAATGGACGCATAACGCGTCGAAATTGGCCAACTCCACTGAGACCCGAGTCTGCAAACCGCTGGGATGCGTCGTCAGTATGGTTTGCTTGGCAATGCTGCATCCGTGACGATGCACCTCCTCCCTCCTATCCATTGTTCTCGTCTATTAATTAAACACTCGATCCGGTTGAATTACGTTACATTTCGACCCCATTTCTCTCCAAGCATCTGTAAAGACGAATAATAATTCCATTAAAAGGAAATAGCACAGTTTAATTGCACAATTAGAGTGGTGTTCTGACTCCTATATTAGTTTAGATGGTGCTCCCATAGCGTTTCCTCAAAGAGAGAGAGCGCGTCGTAAATTGACTGTTTCAGATTTTAAGCAGGGTTTTATTGTAATAATTCGAAAGGGGCATAGATCGTCGGTCATTTGTTACGGGGCCCGTTCGTTCTTAATCTCCAGAATATTCGATTCAAAAAGGAATTTCGCGTGGAGAATTGCGTTCTTTAATGAAGTTAAGAAGTGTTCATGAATCTTGGGAGCCGCATGGAAGGTCATGATCATTTATTATACGTATTAATGGGATTAGTGTTTTGAGGGACTGTTTCGGAGATTACTGGCTGTACGCGCCTATTATTTATGGTGCGGCCCAAATGGTTACGGATGTTTCATTTGAAGCAGCTCTTTAATATAATGACTAAATTAACCATATTGTATTCTAGATAGAATTATGTTACAGATAGTTAATAAGAACATTTTGGAATAGTTTGATAATTTAATGCACGTGCATGAGAACAGCGAGCCTACCACGAAAAGAAATTCCGAAATTTCGGACTCAATTTCGTGTTTTTGTTTATACCAAAATCAGATCAATAAATGGTGTTTAACATTTCGTTCGTCATACATCCTATCTTAAAAGTCCGAAGGAACAATATTTTAACATTTTTAATATTTCCAAACAGCATGTATTATGTAATTTTAACATCAAATTTGTGTTTCGTTCGGCTTCGAAATTTCGGAAAACATTTCATGGTAGGACCTCAGTTCGTAATAGTAAGTAGGTCTAAAGGAAAAATATCATCATTCTCATTAAAATGACAGTATTTAGTTTAAGTAATATAAAATCAACATTATTAATTTGTTCATTTTTTTTATCTGTGGTTTTAATTTTTTTCTGCAATCTCTTCCAGAGAAACTTTGGGTAGAGGACATTGTGGAAAAAGACAAAGGCTAGATGAAACACTATTGTATAGATACTAACATATACAAACATATACACAAATATATACATAAACATACACATACTTGACATAAAAGTGGAAGATGAAGAGAGAACACGGGAAAATAGTACTTAAAGAGGAGATAGTAGGATTTTACAGAGGTTTTGAAGCTAGCGAGAGATTGAGCGCACCGAATAGAGACAGGTAGTGAGTTTCATAGGCAAACTGCCTGGACAGCAAAGGAATTAGAATTAAAGGAAGTGGAGGAAGTTGGAAATTTAGTACAAAGATAAACTATAGATATATATTTTAGACTAGCTGTTTCCCGCGGCGTTGCCCGCTTCTATATAGTTCCCGTATATCATTCCCATTAGAACTCTCATGAATCCAGTCTATATTGTATTATATACTTAAATGATGATTACGTACCTAAAACTTTCATAAAGTTTCAGCCAATTCAACTGATCGGTTAATTTATAGCATTTTATATGTGATTCTTTAGATTGATATAACATTTTTATTTATGTATCGATTGAAATAAAGCAAACACTAAATATTAAGTGAAGTAAACCGCAACGCATTAGTAAAAACCGCATTCAAAACGGTTAAGTCGTATCTGAGATTATTGTACACCAACCTACAACTTAACAGGCAAACAGACGAAAATACTAAAAATCATTGGTTTTTTGGTTTTATTGCGTTCATAAAGCCTCCCTAGTTTTTCTTATATATCTTCCATGTACAGACAGTGATCAGTTAGGATTTTATTATATGTATTGATGATTGATTAACATATATAAAAAAAATTAACCCCTGTGTAGGTGTAGTCGCATATTTCGTCATAGTCGTAGAATACCAACGGATCTTTATATGTAACATTCGTCAGATCCGTCAGTATTCTACGACTATGACGATTTCTGTAAAATAAAGTTTCTCTTTGTTTCTTTCATATATGTGTAAGGTATTTTATATACTGACTCGTGTACATAAAACCGCGCCGTATACCGCTAGTTTAAAGTAAAAAAGGAATAACATATTATTTCACATTGATATTCAACTAAACAACTTCGAAAACCCTATATTTAAAAATGCATAAGAAAACCGTTTAAAGGGGGATCGTTTAACGTAATAATAGTGATTACTGTCGCGTTACGATATTTGAACCGTTGAATAAATAACCGTTTTCCACGTAAATAACGATGCAGCAATCATAAAGGGGACATTTGTCACCGGACAAAAGGGTTTGTATCAATTTATTAATTCTTTTTTTTTTTTCAAGTAAATAAAATTTTTATAGGGTTTTTTTTAATGGCTGATAATGGAATGGCAAGCCCACCCGCGCTATTGGTATACATCGCCGGGGCACCAGTAAAGGATGATAGGTGAGGATGAAGCAGGTCAGTTAGCCCACTGTGACGAATTCAACAAGAATTGTTCATGATGGTTAACAGGGGAAACCACGTGGAGGTCGACCTAATAGAGCATATTGCTAGTAATGGGGCTGTCAAACTCCATTGCCAACAATCCCTTTCCTTCCACTTCTATAGGGTTACACTTTTACATATTTTTCGCGTTGATTTTCGAATTAGAATAATTTGTGTATTGTAAAACAGTTTCTTGCAACATACAAGAACAAGTCGTCATAGTCGTAGAATACTGACGGATCTGACAAATTAGTACAAAATTATAAAATTAGTACAAATATGTGTACATGGCGGACTTAAATCTAAAAGCATTCTCTCCCAGTCAACCATTGGGAAGTGTCAGAATACTAGAATGCGGTAGTAATTATTGATATACATACATACTAAAATTACATATATAAACGAATAAATATATATGAATAACAAATATACTTACACATATATGACATATACTATATTATACACAAAATTGAGAATAATATAAAGCACTTACTGCTCGGATAAAGTAAAAAAGTGAGCGCGAACGTTTTTTTTTTTAAATGTATTATATAATATAGTATTTTATAATATTAATATACTGTTTAGGGATATACACTCAAAAGAGAAGGCGAGGTAGAAAACGGACATAAAAAAAACTGGGGCATACGTACCTTTTTTCCTGTGGATTACAAGACGGGGTATGTTCTTAAGCGGACATAAGTCGAGAAGGTAAAAACCAATCATAAATAAATACTGTTTAGGGAAATTGTTTGAAACATACACAATTAACAAACTATACGTTTTACTGTCGACAACAGACTGACAATCTTAGTTGAGAGGTAGATACACGTTTTACAATTATATCCCACATTAGTGATGTACCTACAAACATCCACAATTATATACATACATACATACATACATATCTGTCACGCCTGTCTCCCATTAGGGTAGGCAGAAACAATGGAACGCCAAATGCTTCGATTCAAACAAACCTCTTTCGCTTCTTCCACATTCATCAATCTTGTCATACACGCTCGTCGGTTTTTTAATTAGTTAATTAACAAAATTTAATTATCAAAACTATTATAAACTACATTAAAAACATTCTCGTGTAAACTTTTTCCAAAGCCATTCTTAATTGTAACTATCAATTAAGCCACGTTAATGGATCCGAATGAAACGTTAAATTCTGAACGAGAAGTGTTCGGATTACGCTGAAATTCACTTTCAATTGGCGATTCCCGTAGCAATGACGTTTATTTGACCACTCCGCACTGTTTGTAGTTGATTTAATACGAGATTAATCAACGTCGTCACCATTAAATCAGCCATTAACTGTCCACTGCTGAACGTAGACCCCCATAAGAGCGAGACTTTGTACTGCCAGAGGGAGACTTTGTACAAAAGTCGATTGCCTAGGTACCTCTGTCCCGTTCGTGTTTCTACCGTGAAGCAGTTGTGTTTGCATGGCTGTGTTTCGGTTTGAAGGGTGGGATATGGCGTGAATATGAATTTACTGGGTACAGAGGAATAACAATTGAGTCCTCAGGAATGGCAACGCATGGGGGGTATCATGGGCGAAACAGTATACTCTGTTATGTCCATGGTACTGCTCATGTGTACAGGCGACGATTACCACTTTCTATCAGGTGGGCCGTCAGTTTGTTTGCCATTCTAAGTTATAGTAGTTAGTAGTAGTGTTTTTAGATAGTTTCTGAAGGCCTACCATGAAATATTTTCCGAAATTTCGGGTCCGAACGAAACACAAATTTGGTGTTAAAATTACATGATACATACCGTTTAAAAATATTAAAAATGCTAAAGTATCGTCCCTTTGGACTTTTATGGTAGGATTTATGACAAACGAAATGTTAAGCTCCATTTACAGGGTCGATTTCGGTATGAACAAAAACACGGATTTGAGTCCGAAAATTCGGAATTTCATTTCATGGTAGACCCCTGTTTTATTTTAATATAACGCCACCAAACACCTCTATTTCCCCTATGGTTGACTGGTAGAGAACGCCTATAGGTGTTGTATTCCCTATGCGTAATTTTAATATACACACAAATAGTTGACCGAGCATGCATAAACTCGAAAAGCATTATCCACTTCTAGATCGGCAGTCGGTTAAAAATACTGCGAGCCTACCATTTAGCGCAATTATAGATGGCAAGAAATCAATTACCTCTTTCACGCCAATAGCCCCGCTTAATGAAACGGGAGCAGATAATTGAAAAGATACCGAAGTATTGGACTTCGAGGATCGAGGTGGATCTCACAAAAGGAGACCTATAGATACACAGTTATCCCAATATTAACGGCCTCCGTTGTGCAGTGGTCGACACGTTGCTTTTAAACGAAGACCCGGATTCGAGTCCCGGTTAGGTCGATTTAGGAACTGAAATTCTTAAATTCGAAATTGGGTCAAATCTTAGTATTCTGAATGTAGCCCGTTAGTTGCCTGCTGCCTCATAACACAAAATATCTAAGGACTAGACAACTGATGTTATTATGTGGGTGTCGCTTTTTATGGATTTTTTTATGGGTGAAAATGGTATGGTAACCCCGCTTGCACTAACGGGATACGCTGGCGG